CAAGCAAAGATCAAGCCCTGGGCACTGGCCTCATTATACAGATCATTCATTGTGCCAACTGTCCCCAGCACCAAACACATATAGAACACACTGATTCGTGTGTTGCCAACACAGGTAGCCGTCAAGTGGTTTGAGAATGGCCTGGTACTGAGAAGTTGGCAAAACGCACGTATAAAAGGCATAACAAGGCACTGTTTTGCAGAAATTGTAATGCTTTATGGGCCTCTATCTGCAATGAAACCCGTCAAAGGGCAAGTTCATCCCTTGATGACCAGAGTTAATTGAAAATTTAAGACTTGATCTAATCACCCAGAATTGAGATTTTTGGCAGCTTACGTCCTTAACTGCGAGATTCCTGATGCTTTTTGCCTCTGCCAGCCCCACAAGTGAGGGTGCAGGTTCCAATAACATCTGCAAGAGCACTGAGCTCTAAACAAGGGACAAACAAAATGGAGTTAACTCTGATCTTGTTTTTTTGTGGTTTTTTTTTTAAAGTGCACATGGTCCCCTTCCAGCCTAAGCTACCAGGTGGAAGTACGCCAACACACTTTCACCAATTTTCAATCTGTTGAAGAGTCAGATGAGCATCTTCTCTATGAAAAATAAGCATATCAAGTGCTACTTAAAAATCTTCTATGGCCAAAACCATATGAAAGAGGAATATTCTTACGTGCCTCTAGATAACAACACAAGTTTTCTAACAAGAAAGTTCTAATTAGTGTCAATACCTATTTGTCTAGCACCTTGCAGTTTATAAAAGAGCTTTGATGCCCAAGAGATTTACATTCAAATTCTGCCTCAGTCACTTCCTGGCACTGTATCTTTAGAAAAGTTACTTAACCTCTCTGAGTATCTGTTTCCTTATCTGCAAGAAAGGAAGGAGTGTACCCACATACCTCACTGGGTTTCTGTGAGGATAAAATGATGTAAGAGGCCACACAAAGACAAATGTTCACAACAACTTAATTTGTAATCACCAAAAACTGAAAATGACCCAAAGGTCCATCAATAGATGAATGGAAAAACAAAACTATGATATATCCACATAATAGAATACTACCCAGAGATAAAACAGGAATGAACTACTTACATACCAACCAACATAAATGAATCTCAAAGTAAGCTGATAGGAAAAAGCCAGACCAGAAAGAGTAAAAACCATATAATTCCATTTATAGAAAGTTCTGTCAAATAAAATCAGTGACACAAAGACTGACAGATAGCAGATGACTGGTTGTCTGGGGACAGAGGGTTGGAAAAAAGGAGAGATTACAAAGGTGCATGAGGAAACTTTTGGGGTAATGGAAATATTCCACCTCTTGACCAGGTGATGGTTTCATGGGCTTGAACATTTTAAATACCTGCAGTCTAGTGGGCTTAAATTATACTTTGGCAAAGTTGAAAAGTTGGGGGAGAATGCAATAAGAAATAAAATGCCCATCACAGGATTTGGCACATAGTAGGCTCTCGACCAATACTGGCTCCATTCTGGAGCAATAATGAATAACCCCATTAGAACTTCTGGAAAAGAACTTGAGAGGCTGCCAGGGAACGAATCAGCATGTGTAACATCTGCTTTGAAGGAGAACATTTACTTTGTACCTGACACTATACTCAGCTAGAAAGCATGAACGAGAAAGAACAGAAAGATGAGCAAGGCTTGGTCTGTGTCCTCAAGGAAACACAAATAAGTATAATACATGGAATAAAAGTGTCATAGGATGGTACTGACAAACTACAGTGTGCAGAAAAGAATAATTCCAAGAAGGAACAATAACAGGTAGGTGGGATTCTGGCAAACAGTGAGGGGTATGGCAAGCCCTGTGTGGAAGGAGTGTCCTGTGCTAAGTAGGGAGACTGGAGAGGAAGGATCCTGGGGGAAGAGGGCAAGGCCAAGGGCCAAGGCACGCCATCCTCCAGCACAGTGGTCCCCAATCTTTATGGCACCAGGGACCGGTGCTCCTATGAGAATCTAATGCCTGATGATCTGAGGTGGAGCTGAGGTGGTGATGCCAGCAGTGGGGAGTGGCTGTAAATACAGATAAAGCTTTGCTCATTTGCCCGTCACTCACTTCCTGCTGTATGGCCCGGTTCCTAGGTACCGGTCCTCAGTCTAAGGGTCGGGGACCCCTGCTCCAGGGGACAAGTTGGGGGAGGGTCCACAAAGAGCAAGGGCAAGCTGAGGAAAGCCCTGAGCACTCACTGGAAACTCCATTTCATTCATCCAGAGGAACTAACCAAAGAGTTTGGTATGATCAGATTTGTGTTTTATACAAACAGGTGCTATGTAGAGGGCAATCAAGCAATTTATCAAGAGTCCTGACATTTGTGTCTTTCAACTCAGTAATTCCTAAAGAAATAATCAGAAATGTGCACAAAGATTTATGTCCAGCATTGCTTATCATAACATTATTTATAATAGCCCAAAGCCTGAAATAACTTAAATGTCCAATAAAAGAGAACTTCTAAATAAATTATAGTATGCTGAGTGATTGAATCACGTACAGCCATTAAATCATATTTTTGGAACATAAGGAATGACAGAGGGCATGCCTCACTATACAATATTGAGTTGAAAGAAAGCAGGATCTAAAAATATACATTGAGTATTCATTCAACAAATATTTATTGATTAACTACTATGTGCCAGGCACTGTTTTAAGTACTAAGACACAGCAGAGGATAAAGCAGATATAATCTCTGTACTCATTAGAAGGGCTTCTACCTTCTAATGAAGGAAAGCAGGCAATAAATAAGACAAACAACAAAAGCAAAATATATAGTATGTAAGATGGTAAGAAGTGCTACAGAGAAAATCAAGAGAGGAAAGGGA